AGAATTGAACACCAATCCTCTCTCGTCAGTGGAGCTGGCTCTCATGGTGACCACCTGCTTGGACCTCAGACCGGCCACCTTCACCTGGATGGGCTCGTCGAACAAACACCTGGCGCTGGGCAGCAGCCTCAGCCTGACTTGGGCCGACATACTTTCTGAGATTAAGACAAAACACATTTTCAGTTGGATCATAATATAAAAAAAGAATGGCAAAACAAGAAACTTAATTTTAAAGTTATTATAAAGAATTCCACCACAGAGCTGTTTATGTTTGATTATAAAAAGTCTCTTACATTATGTTTCTAACAACAAACTAAATGTATTAAAGCCAATTCACCATAATTCTGAAATTTTATTTCTCAGTCTTAAGAAGGCATGAAGTAACAATTATGAAATAAAAACGCATAATCAGATAAAAAACAAGCAAGTCTGAGATATGGTTAATGATTTTGACGTTTGACATAAGATTTAGGTTCTTAAACGCATTATTATAAAGTCAAACTTATGCTACAAAAAAATAATCTCAGCCTTTAAGCATCAAAGCTATGAAAATCAGTCAATGATGAGTTGATAGTCTGAATTTTCTATTTTTACATTTAGAATATGGGGTCATTATTACAAAAAAATAAAGTCAGAAAACTGATATTTAGATGCTGTGAACATCTGAGAAATCATTTCAACCTTTTAAAAAAAGAGATTCAAATCATACTTTGAACTACCATTACTAAACAAAACAAAAATCTCTGATACATCAGTTTGTGATACTACGGAAGCCGAGCTGGGTCATACTACACTTTGTTTTTCCTTTGCTTTCTCGAGGTAATTATCTCGTTATCACAAGAAAACGGTTATTAATTCCTTGAGATAACGAGATGATTATCCTGTATGAGCAATTAGTGCGGCTGGAGCCCCAGGTTATGCATGCCTACGGTGCCTGTAGTTGTGCAGTAACGTTACTGCAATCAGTTTTTTAAGTTTCCCATTTCTTTTCACTCATTGTCAGGTCGTGGTGGCTGATTGGTGCATGGAATACAGTAGAAACAAATCTGACTGTTTTTAATGAAAATCTTTAACTTGGACTCGTTTTGGGGTTTAATGCATCGTATACCTGCTACAGGTGTAACACTGGTGCTAAGGCACCGGACGCATAGGTCTAATTGCTTATGAATCAGAAGAGGAAGCAAATCATCAAACCAACAACGTCGTCTTGTTACCTAAAAGTTAAAAACAGGATTATTTACAGCAGAGGTCACGGATTAGCGGGTTACTGAAATCCAACCCAATTTAAAACATTTAGAAATTTCTGCATGTTCTCCAACGACAGTGTCTAACTTCACTTGCAGCGCTTCTCTTCTTAATACGGTAAAGCGCTCCGGAGCGTCCAGCACCAGGCTACACGTGATACAAATTAGCCAATGAGCTGCTGTCAGTCTGGGTTGCTGCTGCTGCTAC